CAAAGCAGAGAATGAATTACAATGAAAGAAAAAATAATTGGAGTGAAGTAAAAGGACAGAGGTTTGATTAAACACAAATGTTGAATTATAATGATGCATACTTGAAACCCATATAATGAAATAGTTTAATGTCACTTTGATTAAAAAAATAACTCAGCAACATTTGTTGACCTAAATTTTCTTTTTCTCTATTGTATGTCTTTACCTCCTATGTCATAGATTAGTTCTCTAAGTATACGTGCTTTTATTTCTAGGCTTTTGATTCTATTCCACTGATCTCTGTCTTGGTCTTTATTCCAATGATACACTGTTCTGATTATGTAGCTTGGACGTACAGCTTGAACTCAGAGTGATGGTATCTTGAATCTTGTTCTTTTTCCTCATGATTCTTTTGGCTATTTGAGTTCTTTTGTGGTTCCATACAAATACAGTTTTTTTTCTATTTCTGTAAATAATTTTATTAAGAACAAAATAGGAATTGTATTGAATCTATATATACAGTATTAGGTGAAATAGCCATTTCAAAAACATTGATTGTTCTGATCTATGAGCACAGAATGTCTTTCCATTTTTTCTTCCCTTTCTTTCATCAGTCATATAGTTTTATTGCAACACTATTCACAATAGTCAAGATATAGAAAAGGCACAAGTACCCTATGATGAGTGAATGGATAAAGATGAGGTATATTTACACAGTAGAATATTACTCAGCCATAAAAAAAATATAAAATTTAGCTATTTGAAACAACATGGATTGACCTTGAGGGGATTATACTAAGTGAAACTAGCCAGAAAGAGAAAGACAATACCATATGATATCACTGGTTTCTGGAATATAAAGAAAAAGAGGTAAACAAACAAACAAAAATAAAACTAAAATCCTTAGACTGACAACAGAATGGTGGTTACTGAGGGGAAGGATTAGGAAGGGAATGGGCAGAGTGGCTCTATTGGTTGGTAGTGAATGAGAACTAGAAATCTGGTGGTGGATGTGATATGATATTTAGTTACAAAAGGTGATAAACTGTACACCTACACAGTGTTGTAAACTTATGCTACCTCAATAAAAAGAAATCAAAATAATTAAAAATTCAAAAAATATTAAAAACCAAAGATTTAAATAGTTATCTAAGATAGATGGAAATAAGCATATGTAAATATGTTCAACATCAAATGTCTTTAGGAAATTGCAAATTAAAACAACGAGATATCCCAACACACCAATAGGAATAGCCAAAGTCTGAACCACATACAAAACCATGATGGCAAGGATGTGGAGTAATAGGATATCTTATTCATTGCTGGTAGGAATACAAAATGATAGAGTCGCTTCTGAAGATAGTTTGGCAGTGAAAAGACTATTTTGAGGTAACTTTGTTACATCTCATTACAAGATAGCAACTTATTTTGGGGTGTATTTGGAATGAAGGCTGAATTTTCAGCTCTCCTTATTCTACACTTGCCTGCTAGGGGAGGAAAAAGCAACAGCTAGAGACATAGTATAACTGAAATGGAGGTTCCCTCCATTTTTATATAGAAAGCTCTGCTCATTCAAACAACACAGTGCGGAGTTATGCTTTAGTTAAGTCCAGACGCTCCCTTACTTCAAGCAGCTGAAAACAATTGACAGCTCAATCACATCTCAATCCTAAAATCCCTTTAATCTTGAAATTATTAAAGAAAATTGGGGTGGTAGGAAGGATCGATGGGTCTAAAATTCAGACTTGCCTGGAACCAAGGCAAGGCACTTGAGGAAGCAAGATACACTTCCTCTGGTTACATTTTATAATGCTGCTCACAGGGGAACACTAAAGCTTTAACTCACACTATTTTTTCCACCTGGAATGCCCTTTCTATAGTTCTATAAATTCCTCATGGCACAATCTTATTCATTTTTCAAGGTCACCACATCTGGGATACATTAACTGATAAACCTCTCATTCTCTTTCTTCAGAATTCTGCATTTCTATTTAATCATTTCTGAGTTGTCAGAATACATAAAATATAACATATAGAATGCATTGAATATATGTATATTATGAATATGTATTTAGAAACGTGGAAATACATGTTTTGTGAGCATATTTACACACACACACACGGATTAGCCAAGAGAGCTCTACTCGGAGGAAGAAGCAGAGGGACTTGTCCCTCTAACATCCAGACACTGATCTTGACCGAAATTCCAGCAATTTAACTTTTGGAAGTCTATATAACCCCTCCTGCAATTGTATGCTTAAAGTGTCCAAACACCCTCAGGTTTTCACCTCTTGCCCATGCCACTCTGTCTACTTTGGCATTTCATATCATGTGTCATCACAGATTATAAACTCCATCTTCATTCACTTCTGAACCACATTCAATCCCATGGTGTGTTTTAAATTCTACACATTTTTGCGTACTTGGAAGAGTCATAAAGAGAGTTTATGTCGGCATCACTCAGCCATTCACAGTTTTTGGTGTCTCTAGTTCTGACTCCCTCCCATTTCTGCTCTCACTGCCTCCCTCATTCTCTTCCTATTATTATCCCTGGGAAATCCACATTCTTCTCACTCTATTATTCAAAACAACTAGTTTTTCTCACTTTGATTATTGTGAAATCCAGGGTTTGATTTCCAAGGGTTCAGCAAAGCTAAGGAGCCTCCATTGAAGATGATTCAAGCTGACTCCCATCTTCGAATGCAGTCATGGATGCAGGTGTGAATGCACCCTCTGGGCCACTCATTCCCCACGCTGTGATCACATAAATGCTCACACTGCACTGAAGGCATCAGTGTGCTTCTCTTCATCAACAGAAAACCAACTCATCTGAAAATGTAGCTGTCAGCCTCTGTGTTTGTTGAATGACTGGTTGATAATAACAAATGAATGCACTAATAAGCAAACTGAAATTTCTGTGTACCCATTATCCTAACACATGGCTGGGCTCACATGAACCCTTTATAAACATGCTATGTGGATAGGTACAAAACTAATTTTTGAGAGACTCTATTATTTGTAATACTAGACATATTGTTGCGTATTTGCAAATGTTTATAGATTAACTATTAATGTTCCTGCACACTGTGAAATTATACAAAGTTCCTTAGATATCATGATCAGTTAGAATTTATTCAGTTCTTTGTGTTAAGAAAGATTTAAATAGACTAACACCCTGCTGTCCTAAACATTATCAAATATGTGCCTCTTGCTTGGAATTGTTTGCAATCTGTGATAATCCAATTTTAGATAAGTGTCACATAATAAAAATGATAGTCACACTGTTACTGGTTTTATTAATGCAGTCTGAGTCAGAAGAAGGAGATGAATTACTTTAAAGAGAAATAACATGATCTATAAGCCCAAATAGAGGGAAGACCAAGATAAAATGGCCTTAGGTTTAATCCTTAGAAGAATGACATTTCAGAGTATGAGCCTGTTGCCCCATAAGTTAACAATATTCACCTAGAAACTTTATTTTCTTTTAAGTCTGCCTTTATTTGGTATCAATACAGCAATGCTTTATGTGAGAGCTTAAATTGTGTTTCTATGAGATTAATGTCAGTTCTAGATAGAGTGGATTTTAAATATGCAATGTGAATTACTCTCAGTTTAAGTTGTCAAAGAGTTAACTGAAGTGTTTCACCAGTGTGCGGGGCAGGTGGGAGAGTATTGAAGGACTCATGTTGATTGACATGGCAATCGGGTCTCATTTTCATCCACAGCACATGTCATTTCTATTTAGAAATACTGGAAGCTAAAATGATGCATATGCCAATCATTTCATATAAAACACAAAAGCAGTTAAGCCGGTTTGGTCCTGTCCCCCAGCTGGAAGGAAAATTAAGGTACAAGAGAAAGGACAGAGGAACTGAAGTGATAGGAACTTGAGTAAGACTCAGTAAGTCAAGGTCTACAACATTGCCCCATGAATAGTCCTGGCATTACTAAATCCCTGAATATTGAATCCCTGTCTATTCCAGACATTGTGTTACAAACTTCTTTTTCATTTTCTCCTTTACAGCTTAGAACAATCCTTTGAGAGGATTATTATTAGCATTCCTCTCCCTTTATATCATGGAACTCTGACATGAGAAATTATTTGTTAATCATTCGAGTAGAAAACAGCATGTAAGAATTCACATGAAAGTTTTAGGGATGTCTGAAACATCAGTGAGATTTCAATGGTGTGTAGAAAAATAAATGGAGCCTGATTGTTTAAAGTCAATCCAGAAAACAAAAATGACAGTAAGAATAAGCTGTGACTGAACAAAGGGAAGAAATATTTCCTATTGGTTTAAAGAGAGTTCATGTTATTTAAGAAAACAGGTTAATTATTGATATTATCTCATTTAACCTTCATTTAATTCTGCAAGTCTATTGTGTCATGATGAATTTACTGTAAGGAAAATAAGGCTTAGGGAAATCAAAGAATTTTGAAAACTCACAAAATTTTTAGTCTCTGTAGAGCAAGTATCCGATCCAGAACAGCAAAAACATATGATATTATGCTTTACATTGGCACTATTCATGTTTATTATTAATGACAAACCACATAAGTGATATAAACAGATTATTTGAAAATAGTGACTATGCCCAAGAATTTGTTGTCTATTGGGCGTTTGGCATTATAGCAGCAGAAGGTAAGATGATAAATAAGAAGACATTATTGTTGCTACTTGGAAGGAATGAAAATATTTTTTGCACAGATGTACAAATGAAACAGCAAATAACTCAAAGCCCAGATAAATAAAAAAAATGTAGGGGAAGAGAAGCATTATCTGAACGTATGAGAGAATACATTTTCTTTCTTTTTTTTTTTAAATAATAAATTTTATTTTTATATTCCCCAAACAATTGCAGCCCCCCCACTCTGACCCCAATCCCTCCCCTCCCGCCCCTGCCCCCCTAAAAGTGTCTCTGGTTCATAGTTTTTTGTTGATTTTGATTTTCACTTTCTTATAGTTATTCATTTTCCTGGTCCCTTATTTAAGTTTTCTAGATTCCTGCTATGAGTGAGACCATCCGGTATTTTTCTTTTTCTTTTTGGCTTATTTCGCTGAGCATGATCCCTTCCAGCACCATCCATTTTCGATGAGAAAATTTAGCCAAAGCAATTTTCAGAGTAAGGTATCCTATGAGAAGACTGTCAGAGTCACTCATTATCCAGAAAGTAACATTATTAGGCACTTTGTGAATTTGGTTCAAAATACAGATACTAAAAGAATGAAGAAAGAAAGAAGAAGAATTTTAGAGTATCTTAAATTACATGGCAAAAAGGTTATAATTGATCTACTAGGTAAAATACAGGTACCAAATAAGATACTTGTAAAGTTTCCTTAAAATACCTTTTAAGACCTTTGGAGGACAAGGCTCCTGCCCCTATCCTTGAGAATTTTGCTCAGATTGACCCAGGGAATAATGCAGACATTGGAATTAAACATGAACTTAAAGATCATAAGTAAAGGAAAATGGTTAATAGGCATTGGAACCTTCTGGGAGAACTGAGTGGACTACTTCAGGTTCGGTGCTAATGATCTGTAAGAGGGTGTAGACAGCATGTTAATGACATTTTTTGATAACATTAAATCAGGAGAAGCTGAAACATAACTCAGATCAGAAAAAAAAAATACCTGTTATAAGAATGGCTATGAGGAAGTTATGAACAGGAAGGTAATAATAAAATAGCATCTACAATTACAAAATTCTAAGATAGATTTTTTAAAAAGTTCCTTAAAAAAGATTTATTTTTATTTATTTGTGCATACAAGAACTGGGGTGTAGGCCAGAGGTGTGGAGGGTGAAAAGATTCACCAGAGACAGAGTGGGGACAGAGTGGGGAGACAGAGTGGGGAGCGGAACAGAGGGGATCTACTGAAATACACTGCTGAAGGGAGCAGCAGGAGAGACAGGAGAAGTCTGCTGTGCCATGTGGGTAGCGCCCTGGCTTGGAATCAAACTCATGCTGCAGTGGCTGGCATTGGCTTGATAGCGCTGAGACTTAACACCTGCACCACCAGAGAGGCCCATAAGATAGATTTTTAAAATAACCCAGGTAGAGGATATCAATGAATGAATAACTGGAACTGCCCCGGAGCAAAGATTATAAAACAAATAATCTATAGGACACATGCATGTGCATACTCTACATGACCCAGTCTGGGTATAGAGATTATTGGTTCTTAGAAGATATATATTTTGGAGGTTCATGAAGAGCTAGTGTCTGTTTTGGAAACTACTAAAATCAGCGAGGTCACTGGAAAAAGGGGCATCATTCATGCAGATGTATGCATGGATTCCAGGCCTGTAAAGTAAGAACACTGGTTTTCAGTATAATCTTTTGTGCTCAAAGAGAGAATTATAACCTGCTAGAAGGATATAGCATCATAAACATCACTGTGCTTCCATATTATGATAAATTGATACCTGAAAAGGAGAGAAAAATAGATAGACTCATTTATACAGATAGAGAAAGCAGAATGGATGACTTCTCCAAAAGTCCTTAAGGACAAAAAATAGTATCATTAAATTCCAACTGAAAAGGCTTTCTTTTTTAACTACAGATTTTTTTTTAACTTCTCTTCCCATACATGTAACTGTAGTGACAAGCATTATCAAGCAACTGGCGTTTCACAAAGAAATACTATTTTATTATTTATAATAACTAAGCACTGCAATTAAGAATAAAGTTTCTGAAACTAAATATGAACTCAAATACCAGCTCAAAAATTTTTTAATAATGTGATTTTTTTCATGTAATTGAAAATGTGCCACATAATGTTTATATCTATACATTAACATTATTACTTCAAAGACTTCTGGGTTAAATAAGAAAACATCCATAAAACATTTAACATAATTTCTGAAATAATATGGATGTTAAATAATATACAGATTGTTTTTGCTAAACATAAACTCATCAAATATTATTGGTCGGAAGAGATTTCAATGATAATAAGTTCAGCCTCCCCAGTTTGTAGACTTCTATATATTTTATTAAAGAATCATAAAATAGAATTAAAATCACTTTCTTAAGATTATGGGGATACTTGGCGAAAGAATGGGGAAGCAATTTAGTTGTCATAATTTCTTATTCAGGAAGATCATATGCCTGTATTAGGATACATTTCACAGTGATAAATATGGATAATTTTCTTTTTTTCTTTTTTAAAGATTTATTTATTTATACAAGCACTGGGTATAGTCAGAAGCACGAGAGGGTGAGAGAATTCACCAGAGCCAGAGTGGGGAACAGAATAGGCAGACTGACGAAATACACTGCTGAGGGGCGCAGCGGGCACCGCAGGAGAGGTCTGCGCGCCATGTGGGACCCTCACCTGCGGCTAGGGATCAAACCTGCACTGCAGAGGCTGTGGGCAGCTTCGCAGCCCAGCACTCAACCGCTGCGCCACCAGGGGAGGCCAATATGGATAATTTTAGAAAGTTATGAATTTCATTTTCTCCATGGGTTCTTATCTTCTGCCCCATCACTCATTTGCTTAAAATCTTCAAGGCAAAATATCCACTTATTAACTTCAGGATCATCTTTCTTTTTATTCAGACTCACCTGGGATGTAGTTTATAGGATGATACCATCTTTCCAAGATTGTCTGAACAGCTATATTAAGTGACTTTTTGATGAAATTAATCATCCAAGAAGCTGCATCTTTAGTCTGTCATCAAGGTGGAACATTTTGTTTCAATGAACAAATCCATAAATATTTGGACCAGACAAGATGGAAATGCATTCATCAGTCACGTTTCCATTGATTAGAGATAGAGACACCAGCTGGGTAAATAAAGTCATTGATCTCAGGTCTCTAACTAAGCATTTAAGCATTGTCGATGCCTGGGGAAAAACAAGAAATTTGGTCAATTTCCCAGAAATTTCCAAATTTGTTTGTTTCTTACAGCTAGATAAAGCATGTGATGTTTCAAAAACATTCAGATTTGATCAATAGGTTTTCTCTTGAGAAACCAGAAATGTTTATTTCAAGCAGGTAAAGTCCTACTTTATTGAATTTTAGTCACTTTTAAATATTCATATAAATCTGTTTAATCTGTCATGTTCCATTTACAGATATTACATTAGAGGTAATTGAAAGGATGAGGGTGGGGTCACAGTGGCAACCTTGAGATACGCATGTTTCTATTAGTATCTTGTTATTTTCATCATTCTAATTACAATTACATTTAGCAATGAAATTACATGTTGTCATTCCCTTTAGAACCCAAGTTTCCTTCCTCTATTTTATATAAGCTTATAGTTGAGCCTAAGTATTCAGTCCATTTAAATTATCACTTTATTTCTCTAGGTAGATTTTTTTTTGTAAAATCACCGATATTTTTGAACACTTCCTCATTCAGAGTTGAGCACTGATGGGCCTAAGGTGAGGACCTTGAGCCTGGCTAAAAGTCCAGATGAGAGCAGGGATAGTAAACTAATCTTATCTCTTGTGCCACCTCTAATAAATTGGCAGTGTTTGCCTGAAAAAGTTTGTTAAGGATTCTATGGCTCAGGTAAGGTGAGAAAGAAATAAAGAAGTAGATGAGCAATATCTGTGAGATGATACAGGGATAGCAATGCAAGTCTTAGGTATTTTACTTTTTCAGGCTAGTAGATCAATAAATAATAGGAGAAAAGCTCACAAGTCAGTGGTCAAATGTGGTTGGGAGACTTGTTAATGGAGACTTGTTAAATGGAGACTTGTTAATATGATAGAATTGATATTAAGTTGATACACGGCTCATTGCAAAGAGAAGGATTAAAAACAGGACCGTATATGCACAGCCCAGTCCAGGGCAGCCACGAGGAAAGGCAATGAATGGATTAGACATTATATAGAAAGAGGCAACACACAACCATCCTATTAAAAAGGATGGTTGAGTACAATAAAAAACAAAATGGGGTGTCTCTAGGAACTGAGGGAACAAAAACAAGTTTTGCAAAGAGACAATATGTCACTTCCTTCAAAAGAAAGAATTTAGATAACTAAGGCAGGATACCTGCTGTAGGCTTATGAGGCAAACACTATCACATGGACTTACCTGGACTAAGAAGGAACAGGCTACATTGTCTAGAGATGGACAAAATGGATGACAGGTGGCTGGTCCGTGTCAGGTCCATCTTAATATCCCAACTAGCTTTCCTCAAGCCCCCACTGTTTGGCACCAGTCCAGCAATGGCCAACATTGCTTTCTCCAAGCTTGCCTTTTGAGCAAACACATTTGTAGCTTTTGTTTTGGTAATATACTGCTCTCTTCTCCGAGGCAGATTTTGCAGTTGACACAGTCATTAATTCCACTCCAGGAAAATAAATCTTGCGGGTCCTCTCTCATGGCACAAGGGGTTAAGACAGCACTATGAAGCTATCCGCAGCTACTGCAGCATGAGTTCGATCCCCCACCCAGAGAGCTGACCCACATGGCACAGCAGACCTCTCCTGTCTCGCTCGCTGCTTCCCTCAGCAGTGTATTTCAGCAGATCTGCCTGTTATGCTCCTCACTCAGTCCCTGGTGAATCCTGTCACGCCCCCACATACACACCTCTGGCCTACACCCCAGGTCTTGCATGCATAAATAAATAAATCTTTTTTTTTTTTTTTTTAAAAAAGAAAATATCTTGCCAGGACTGGCAATGTGCAGGTGCATTTCCACTCACCTGGATCAAACCAGAGTCTCCTGAGAATACAATTTGTGCAAACAGCCCTTATCCCATTTGACAACTGGAGGATTTAGCACAAATTGTAGAACCTAGAGCCTACAGTTTAAGACAAGTGGCCTGGAAGAGAGATAAGCACACACTTCTGAGATGCGTGTGGTAATTAGCTCCCAGCAGCATAAAACATTCACTCGAATGATGAATTTTAATTTTATTTCAAAAACCTTTTCAAGGGGAAGGTGTCAGAGCTTAACACTTACTACTAGATTTAACATAAATGGCCACCTGCCAGTTGGAATCTGTTTTCCAATCCTCTGTGATCTAATATATGAAAATGAATTATGTGCTTGAAGATAAAATGAAATCTATAATCTCCTGCACAGTGCTGAAATATTAAATCATGTTAAAGGGGTGAGCAGTGAAGAGAAGAAACACATTGTTGATTTATACATAAATAACAAATACGTCACTCAACCACAGCTCAAGTTAGTGAGCAAAGCATTTGGTTCATATTGCTATGGGGAAAACACGGATTTCTAAAAGTTTAGCTGTGAAGTTCATGATCTGAAGATAAAACTAGTTATGTTTCCAGACAGGAGGACCAAGATGATCAGTCTTGCAGAGAGGGAAAGCTGATGCCTTCGCTTCTTGAGAAGCTCATTGCGGTACCATCACAGACCCATGGGAATGAGCAGGGCTTAGCACTGTTTTTCTGGGAAAGGTATCAAATGGGAAGGGACAGTTGATAACTGCTCTTTAGTGCAACACATTTTTTTTTTATTTGTTTTATTTATTTATGCATACAAGAGCGTGGGGGGTGAGAGGATTCACCAGGCACAGAGTAGGGAACAGAACAGGCAGACTAACTGAAATACACTGCCGAAGGGAGCAGTGGGTGAGACAGGAGAGGTCTGCTGCACCATGTGGCTCAGCTCCCAGGCTGGGGATTGAACTGGAGCTGCAGTCACTGGCGATAGGTTAATAGTGCTGAGACTTAACCTCTTGAGCCACCAGGGAGGCCCCCAGTGCAATATATTCTAAGGCAGTTTAATTATTCACTGGGGCTGTAAGGCCCATACACTTAGCTATACCAAAGTTATATTTTCTATTTGTCTTAGTAGAAGACCCCAGGGATTTGTACTCTCTAATCCAGAATCATTGAAAACCCTTTTTAGTGTTGGATACTTAAGGGTGGAGTTGTATTCCCCCAAAAGCTATGGTAAAATTCTGACACTTCCCCCACACCCGCTGTGTGTGCATATGAGACTGTCTGGAAATAGACTCTTTGTAAATACAATCAAGTTAGGTTGAAGTCATACTGGAAATGAGTGAGTGGGTCCTTAAACCAAAGTAACTGATGTTTTTACAAAAGAGGGAAATTGAAAACATTAAGAGAAACACAGGGGATAAAACAACACAAGAACAGAGACCGAAGATTCATGTGCCCTTTGAAAATCAAGGAACAACAGGGGCTACCAGAAGCGGGAAGAGGCAATGGGGGATGCTTCTTTAAAGCCGTCAAGAGAGGCCATGACCCTTCTGTCCCTCTGCTTAAAGACGCCCACCTCCAGAACTGTGACATAATAAATTTCTATTGTGTTAAGACATCTAATTTGTGGAACTTTGTTACAGAGGACCTACAGCTCCCTTTATTGTAACAAAATACATTGAAAATCCTCAGGGTTTCCCTGGTGGCACAAGGGGTTAAGCACAGCACTATGAAGCTATCCTCAGCCTCTGCAGCATGACTTGGGTCCCGGGCTGGCCCGGGAGCAACCCACATGGCGCAGCAGACCTCTCCTGACTCACCCGCTACTCCCCTCAGCAGTGTATTTCAGTTAATCTTCCCGTTCTGCTCCCCACTCTGTCTCTGGTGGATCTTCTTACCTCCCGTACCTCTGGCCTGTACCCCAGTTATTGAATGCATAAATAAATATATATTTTTAAAAATCCTCAAATATTAAGTAGGTAAATGCAATGCTACTCCTGTGTAAGCTGGAAAGAAAAGACCCAAATTGCCAGCAGAACAGCTCCCAGTCCTGTGGCCAGTAAGAATCCGAGGCCCCTCTGAAACTCTCTCGTGGGCATGAATGTGCACAGGTGAAGCCTTTAATTTTAGTTTAGTTTTTATTTTTTGTTAAGAGATAGGTCCTTTTGACTTTTGAAATAATCCCTGTCTCTCAAATCATTTTGGTAGGGTAGGTTGTTCTCTTTAAAAAACAAAAAAACAACTGAATTCCTGGCAACTTTGTGAACTATCCAACAATACTTGGTGTTTCTCATATTTAGAAATATTGGCATTGGTCAGCATGTAGTCATATCAAATCCACAGGTGAATTTAATTTAAAAATATGAAAATTGCATATAAGAAATTTTAATCAGTACCTAGTACAAATATATCCCTGTTTCCTTATTTTAAATTATTTTAGTAAATGATAGGTTATGCCTGGTATTTTAAAGAATTTACTATCCAGCTATCTTGCTAGAGACGAAACATCTCCCCAAAATACTTCTTAACTCCCAACTTTATATTTTTAGAATGATTTGCATGTGAGGAAGAGGTTGTCTCTAACAAGCTGATATTAATTTGATTTTATTTTTTAAAGATTTATTTTTTATGCGTACAAGAACTGGGGTACAGGCCAGAGGTGTGGGAGGGGATGAGAAGATTCATCAGAGACAGAGAGTGGAACAGATAGGCAGACTGACTGAAATACACTGCCAAAGAGAAGAGCAGGCAAGACAGGAGAGGTCTGCTGCACCATGTGGACAGCTCCCTGGACGGCTGGAGTTCAATATGTATAAACCAAGTATTATTACTATTGCATCAACATCTTTTTACAAAACTGATGAAATGACTTCTAAAACTATGCAGCATTTGAGCAATACTTGCTTTGTGTCAAATATTTCTCTGAGTGTTTCTACATTTTAGAAATCACTTAATCTCATAATGACACAATGAGATAGGGTGGTTATTATTCACATTTTACCACTGAGGAAACAGGTCACAGAGGGTTTGAATAAATTCCCCAAGATCACAGGTGAATGAAGCTCAGAATCCCACCCAGACTGGCTAACAGCTGGAGGCCACATCATCTAATTCTACAAGCTTTTAACAGAATAACATTTAAGGAAATGATATTAGGGAAATAAAAATAAGGAACAGGAAAAATATACAAATTCAGGCTCTAAAGGTCCAGGCATGTCTGAAGACTAGTTCCAAAATTATTGCTTTGAGTTTTTTCAGAGTAAACATACAAACCAACCAAATTTGCTGAAACCATTCAGCTACACAGAGACAACATACTTTAAAAATGTAAGGAATAACAGCTTTTCAAAAATCTTTTCTAAATATTGACTTTGAGAATTAATTCTTCAAATTACAAATGCATTTATTGACCCAGCAATCCTGTTCCAGGCATTTATCTAAAGGATAGAGCTTCACACATGCAGAACTGACTCATAGCCAGGGCTGAAAACAGCTCAAAGATCTGTTAATTGCAGCTAGTAAATAGTGACTCCGCATTCTGTGCACAGACATAAGACAAGCTTGATCATATTCCCAAGTGAAATGAATGAATAAACAACAGCCAGGTCAGAGTATATAACAAGATACTTTGTAAAGCAAATTTAGAAACCAAGTATATCTACTAGTACAGGCATGAAGATACAAAGAAGGATACATAGAAGTCAGAAAAAGTCACCTAAAATTTACATGATGTTATACAATAATATGTTATAAGGCAAGTCACATGAATAGAATAATTTAAAAAGTAACAAAAACCAAAAGTTTTCTTTCTCTTGCATGACATTTAAGCAAATTCCATTGGTTACCCTTTTAAAACATAATGTAATTCTGGCTGCTACTAACAATATCGCTTACTGGTCCTGTGGTCCAAACCACTGCAATCTCATGGCTGGATGGTTACAATAGTTTCTACACTTGAAACTTCAAACCATTTTGATGGGGCGTCCAGAGTTTGTCTTGAAGGACCTGTCATCCTTCTGCTGGAAACCTCCCATCTCAGAGTAAAAATCAAGCCATATTACAAATTATCATTTTCTATAATCTCTGAGTTTACTTAGTTGATTTCATTGCTGTCTGGAATTAGAAATACCCTCATTATTAATTATTGAAACAATGCAAATGTGCAAATTTTTCTTTGACAATGAAAATACTAATTTGCCCATCTGATGCCTTTATATTTTAGTATACAGTAGCACACATAGATATATCTATGCACACATATACATAGACACACAGAGAAATATATAAATAAGCACAGACATTTTCTCAATTACAAAAGAAAAACTTAAATCCTTAGGGTACAGCCCTATGTAGTATCATTTTCCTTTTGTGAAAATGATAGTCCATATAAAAGTGCCAGAAATTTCAGCATGACTTACCACTCCTTAAACCAAGACTACTTTGTCATTTTCTGCTGAGAGTGCAGGATCATACCCTCTTTGAATATGTTACTCAACTCTCGCTGCTGGACCAGCTCACTTTTGACTCTCCTCAAACCTGATGAGTTTGACACTGAGTTGCCATCGGCTCCAGCAGCATTTCTGCCTAAAAAGAATTGTCAGAAGTTTCAAGTCCAGTATGGCAAGAGCTTCTTTGACAGCTGCTTTATAATAATGGAAGGAGAATAGAAAATACTGCTAGTAACATAATTGAACAGCATATATAGGAAAGGTCCCCCTAACATTCAAAGCTCCCCAGGGCTTTGAACTGTGATAATGTGTTTTGGTCTTTCCATATCAGCTCTCCTAGGTCAGCCTTGAATGCAAATTTGTATCAATTGGTGCAGCAAACTCTTCCATCCACAACTGGCAGCTTACATAAGCACACCAAAGGCAGAATCACCAGCATGAGACGTTAAGAAAGTTAATTTGACTGAATGTAAAATTATGGTCTGTTTAAGCAGTATCTGTCAAAATGCAAAAGATACATTTTGCCAAGAAGTTCCACTTCAAAGAATTCATTCTGTAGGTATTCTGGTATAATTTCCCAAAGATGCATATAAAAATGCATTCACTGAAGCTTTTTTTTTTTTTTTGTGATGGCAAAAACTTGGAGATAAAAGTTGATCAATGGGTGAGTTTGCCACAGTGTATCAATGATAACATTCCAAACAGTCTTTTATTTTATTTTTTAAGATTTATTTTCTTTAGGCCTCCCCCCTGGTGCAGCGGGTTGAGAGCAGTGCTGTGAAACCTCTGCTGTGTGGGTTCGATCCCGGCTGGCCAGGCAAGAATCCCACATGGTGCAGCAGACCTCTCCTGTAGTGCCCGCTGCTGCTCCCCTCAGCAGTGTATTTAGGTCCTTCTGCCTGTTTTGCTCCCCGCTCTGTCTCTGGTGAAACTTCTCGCCCTTCCGCACCTCTGGCCTGTACCCCAGCTCTTGAGGTACAGGCCAGAGGTGTGGGAGGGTGAGAGAATCCACCAGAGAGAGAGCCAGGAACAGAACAGGCAGACTGACTGAAATACACTGCTGAGGGGAGCGGCCGGTGAGATAGGAGAGATCTGCTGTGCCATGTGGGTATCCCCCTGGCCAGCTGGCCAGGATGGAACCTGGGCTGCAGAGGCTGCGGACAGCTTCACAGCATGGCACTCAACCGCCTGTGCACCCAGGGAGACCCATAGCATCTAGGGTTCTTAAGAACAACCATATTGGGCGTGTAGTTCTTTAATATAATTTCAATGCAATGATAATAATGTGATACATTTAAAATTAAATCATGCAATGCAGAAAAAACAAAATGACAAGGCTTCCTTGAATTATGATGGGTTTTGTCAATAAATTCATTGTGAATTTGAAAATACCTTAACTCAAGACTTTCTGTCTGGTTGCTGGAGCTAACTGCTACTGCTCAGAATCACAAAAGAATCACACCTCAATGACCATTAAATAAATATGGCTTTCAGTTCATACTAAAGTTGAAAAATCACAATTGCATATCATTGTAAGTTAGGGAAAATAGAATATAAATGTATATAATAGGTGTGTAGGTATAATATGTATATAATATCAATGATATGAATGTAATTAACTTTTTAAAATATTTATTTTATTTATTTACACATACAAGAGCTGGGGTACAGGCCAGAGGTGCAGGGGTGAGAGGATTCACCAGAGACAGAGTGGGGAACAGAACAGGCAAACTGACTGAAATACACTGCTGAGGGGAGCAGTGGGTGAGATAACAGAGGTCTGCAGTGCCATGTGGGCAGCTCCCTGGCCGGAATCGAACACAGGCTACAGTGGTTGCATGTAGCTTCATAATGGTGAGACTTAACCCTTTGCACCACCAGGGAGGCCAAGCCATGAAATAAACTTACCAGGGAAGTGGCAAGGAGGGGCAGGGGAGGCCTGTTGTGTAACAGAAACTCACTTCTGAGTTCTCCATTCTGTTTGCCTTTCCTGGGCACACAGCGGGTTCAGTCAGCAGCTTCCTGTGTGTCAAGGCTGGACCCTTCATCATAAGGGTAGGTAAGTGGAATGCGGCTAAAAGGACACAGATGGCTTTGCTCTTAAGGAACATTTTGAATGTCCTTCTCGATCTCTCTCCAAAAATTCAGAAACATTGGCAGAACTGGAGGAAAGGGACCTCTCTGGTGCCCTTGGGGTTAAGTCTCAGCACTATCACCAGTAAACCCTGAGCTCGATCCCCAGCCAGGGAGGAAACCCACATATGGCGCAAAAGATCGCTCCTGTCTCACCCATTTGTCGTGACAAACTATTGAGGTGTTAAGGTTTATTCACTATTGAAGCCTACCTGGGACTATCCTAGGCAGAAAGGCAAATGATATGAAGCCTTCCCTGTGAGGGATCGATTCTGGCAATTGATTCACAACATGGCGTAAGTGAATGTTGTTCAACAAACTTTGCTTTACAAAAGCATCTGAAGTGATTGCCAGAATGTATTCTCCTAGATGTCCAACTATTAATTAATACTACCTTATAATGAGAGAGGGTTTTTTACTTGCTAAACATTTTTATAGATTTAAAAAAATCCGTATGGAGATAATTAACCATGTTTTCAATCACAACACCTGAAAGTATTCAGAGAAGTCAATGATAAATTTAGGCAGACAACAGAGGATTTCAACATATTATTTCAACATATTATTCATATTAATTGAATAAATGAATGAGATTAGAATACTTGTTTACAGGACTCCAGATCTGTTGTATCTAAATGTATGATGAAATAATAGTGACATCTCTAATTTTAAGTCACATATTCCTAAATGCTTTAAAAATATCCAGTTATTTGATTCTCAAGTAACTTTGCAAGGTAAAGTTGACCTCTGATTCCTGGGAAGCAACACAGATTTTATATTGGGTATTGTTAGGTATGTTTCTTTGAAAGGAAGTGTGTTAAAAATTAAACAATTTGTGCAGTTGGAGCAAAAATTGCATATTAAATAGTAATCATATAGGTGGTGCAATCACAGCTAAAATTGTGATTGCATTCTTCAAATAACAGAAGTTTGAAAATCACATATTTAAAAAGCATAAATTCGGTACCATATATTAGTCACAAATTAAAAATAGGACTGTTATTTGTACAGAAACATTTCGGAATGAGTAACTCATTTGGAGTGAAGCCAGTACTAAAAACAGCAAAAATTCATTTCACAAGTCTACTCTTAGTAGTTGTAAGCACTTTTCTAATTTTACTTATATTACATATAATTTACATACAGTGTTAGCTATTGTTTAAGCTAATTGACATTTTTGTTTTTGTTATTTTCTGCTGAAGTAGCATTGTATTGTAACATTATTTGACTAGAATTAAGTTAAAATATGTCTAAAATAAAATGAGGGCCTCCCCTGCTGGCGCAGGTGGTTGAGCCAGCGCTGTGAAGCTGTCCACAGCCTCTGCAGCATTGGTTCGATCCCGGCTGCCAGGCAAGGGTCCCACATGGTGCGGCAGACCTCTCCTGTCTTTCCCGCTGCTCCCCTCAGCAGTGTATTTCAGTCAGTCTGCCTGTTCTATTCCCCGCTCTGTCTCTGGTGAATCCTCTAACCCTCTGACACATCTGGCCTATACCCCAGTTCTTGTATAAATAAATAAATAAATCTTTAAAAATAAAATAAAATAAAAGGAATAAAAACAATATATGGATTGTTTAATTTTATCTATTTTTCACCAATAAAACCAGTTGTTTGTATTTGCCTACATACATGTGTAGCTATGAAATATTTCTTAAATAAAAATACCACTCTCAAGAAATAACATTTTAAATTAAATAGATATGATTGTTATTAAAAGCTTTATAGAGAGCTATATGTAATGGTAAAGCTACTTGAAGTGATATTGAAATATAATAATTAATATATATTATAATTCAGGATAAATGCTATTTTTCAAAAACTATTCTTTTTTGTTTTTCATATTTCTAACCACTCTAGTATATTTTCAAAAGTTAGGAATATTATGGGGGTCTTAGATTAAATGTAAAATAAATATATTTCCTTCTTTAAGTTTTATGACTGAATGAAGCTCACAGCACTATTTTTGGCCATGGTCCTATCGGGTCATACTAGTAGAAACATTTGAAAAATTGATTTCAAAATTGTAAAGTGTTAGACACCTAAGAACTAGATTTTTTTCCACTTATTTAATAATATGAAGCTATGAGATGAATATCACTAAAATACAAAATCTCAGCAGATCATCATTTTCTTTCTGTTGATATTATAATGGAGAATGCCTAAAGCCTTCCTGTTACTAATGTGTATACACAATTTTGTTGGAAACCAATGAATAGAGTGTACTAAAACCATGGTGCAGTATACCATAAGAGTTTTGGAAATTTTCTCCTGGAAAGCACAAACTTCTGTCACTCCAGAATTTTATAAAATCAAGGTCATGATATCATCAAACAGCTTATGGGATCAAAATTTCAGCTCATTAATAAACTGATTGCTCCAACTTCCAGTGCCAACTCTGACATGCTAACTTTAAGCCATTATCTTTACTGAGCCAGTCACCTATTCTTTATAGCATTTAAATATCATTTTTTTGACCAAACACAGCTTTAGTGATTTTGCTACAGACTCATTGTCATAATATTTACAAAATGCTTCTGAGCCAGATTTCTCTCATAGAATTTCAAGCTTAATTTAACTTGTCCTACAAATAGACAAAATAGAACGATATCATATCCAACAGAACATAGAAATTAGTCAAACTCATGTTTCAAGACCAGGAGTTTATGTAAGCAAATTTTTGCGGGTTCTGTGGTTCCTCCATGTGGCATTAATTGTAAGATAATGGGATGATACATGCCACCCCACTGCCTGCTCTCATGTCATTCTCACACTTACTGCTACAATTAAGTCAATGGAAGATTTTTTGTTTCTTACCTTTACTGTTCTATTCCTTGCTGCATTATTGAATGCTGTTTTCTAAGCAGTTTATATTTTCAGACCTACACACCATTTTTATTCATGTTCATGGGGGCTCATGATTTATTTATTTATCTAAAGATTTATTTTATTTGTACAAGAGCCGGGGTACAGGCCACATGCGCTGGAGGGTGAGAGGATTCACCAAA